GGCGGCTGCGCGACCCCCGCGCCTCCAGCGCGCCCCGCCCGCACCGGGCGGCACCACGGGCGGAGGGTGGGAGGGGACCGCGCAGCAGCAGCTGCGGGAGAGAGCGCGGAGCMGCGCGGRGCGGCRCAGAGGTGCAGCACGGGATTTCCCCCGGCGGAGCGGAGAAGTGCCCCGGAGAGCGGCCGGACGGCAGTTCAGCCGCCCGGGGATGCGGATGCCCGTCCCGTGGGTCCTCCCCCGCGCTCTACATGGGCTCTCCACGGCGGGACTCCACACCTGTGGAGCGGAATGCTCCACGTCGCAGCGGAGAGGGGGGCGCGGAGGCGGAGACGGAGGCGGCACTAAGTAACCGGCGGCCCCGTAGCGGAACCGCCGCAGCGGCCGCTCTCGGTCAGACGGTGCGAACTCGCCCATGGGTCTCTCTGCTCCCTCCGCCGCGCCCGGAACGGGGGTGGCACCGCGGTGTATGTGTGTCACCCTCTTCCCCCCGCACTTGGTACGGCCCAGCGCAAAGCATGGCGGAACTGCGGGCGGCAGGGCGGCTGTGGCGCCGGCGCGGCGGGAGCGGAGCGGTGTGCGGGCTGTGGGATAGCTCAGCCGCGGGATCCCTCAGCCGCSAGTGGCTGCCCTGACAGGGAGCCAAGGAGGAAAACTCGTTTTACCCAAATACCGATTGGGCTTATCCCCGGCAGCGTGGGCAACAGGGCGAGGGAAGGGGATTCTCCCCTGAGCGCCTGCAGTGCTGCGTCCTGCTCTGGGGTCTGGTCCATCCACAGAAAAAGAATGTGTTCCTGCTGGAGCGAGTCCAGAGGAGGCCACGGAGAGGGTCCAAGAGTCGGAGCCCCTCTGCTCCGGAGAGAGGCTGACAGGTTGTTCAGCCTGSAGACAACAAGGCTCCAGAGAGACCTTAGAGCCCCCTCCAGAGCCTAAAGGGGTCTCTCCAAGAGAGCTGGCAAGGGACTTGGACAAGGGTATGGAACAAAAGGTCCAGGAAGAATGGCTTTAAATTGAAAAAGAGACTGTYTAACCAGATATTAGGAAGAAATTCTTTCCTGTGAGGGTGAGGAGGCCATAGCACAGGTTATCCAGAGAAGCTGTGGATGCCCCATCTCTGGAATGTTCAAGACTCATCAGGCTGGATGGAGCTTGGAGCAACCTGGTCTAGTGGAAAGCATCCCTGCCCGTGGTAGAGGGGTGGAACTAGATAGCCCCTAAGGTCCCTTCCAACYYCACCCATTCTGCAGCTGTCTTAAGGCTGAAAGAACCATAAATGCCCACAGTGGTAGTTCTTGGGAAGCAGATGCTGTCCATCTATGGACCAGTCTCCCCACCTGAGATGTTCCATGAAACCAAACCCATCCCAGCGTTAGGAAAAATGGCAGTGGACACTTCTAACTATGCTCCTTTGCAATCAGTCCACACCTTGACTCCTCCATTGTTATGTTTGCTGCCAACCCAGTTTGAGAGGTGACAGAAAATTCAGGATTTTAACACAAACCCATGGCAAAAGCAGCACAGTGTCCTTTAGCAGCCAGCAATCCCCACTTTGTTGACCAGAGCACTGAATGCCCGTYGTTCCTTGAACACCTCCAAATGGAATTCCAAAATTCCCTTCTGGGATCCCCTGGCATGGCTCCTGTGGTGATGGCCAAAGGAGTATSAGGACCATCAAGTCCAGCTTTTGGCCCTGCTCAGGACATCTCCAAGAGCCACACCATTTGCATGGTAGCAGTGTCCAAATACTTCTTTAACTCTGTGAGGCTTGAAAGTTACAGGGGATTTAGCCTGAAGGCACCTCCCGTAAGCATCCAAATACAGCCTTCCTCTACATATAGTACAAAAATGTGTAGGCAAGTATGTACCAGGTGCTAAAACAAATAAGTGCGATGCAGGAGAGACCAGAAATTATTACTTTAACACAATGCTTTGAGCTGGTAAGTGGCAGGAAAAGTGGAAGCAAACAGAGCCTCAAAAAGGAAAATTGAGATGCTCAAACCATTATTAAGATCAATGCACTGCTGACAGTGTTGGAGCAACAGCTGCCAAATCTCGGAGGCATTTGAAAGAGGCTCCCTGTTTTGTTACACGTAGGAATCAATAGGTTATTTGGGTTAAGAAAAACCGCTATTTCAGTTCTCCGGCCCCTCAACGCCGGCCCCTCACGGGCGCCGCCAACATGGCGGCGGGTTCCGTCACGTGCGCGCCGGCGGCCGCGCCCCGCGCGCGCGCGGCACCGCCC